AACTAAAATGTCTGAAAGTTACTCTAATGCGAACTAGATGTTATAATAAGCATAATTTCTTGGCGCCATCAAGGTCTAATAAATATATTGCATAGGGTCTTACATCTTAGGGATGGCCTTAATCTTGTTGTTATAGAGGTTTTTTCCAATGTCATCGTTGCACTTTATCTGATTCATAGTTCTATTTTGCCTGCTACTCATCTGCTTGGTTGATTCTTTACCAAAAGCTTTTGCCAAGGATTCGATCAATGTCATTTTCTTGAAGGTTGACACTGATGAATTGGATGTAACAATTGAGTGGTACATATTTCTCTTGTAATTTGTGTCAAGGTGAGGGGAACCATACTACTTGTTTGCAGACAATTACTGAGGAATGGGGTGCAATGCTATGCCAATCTCTCTTGCTGAAAGAAGGCAAAACAGTAGTTGACAAAGTTTTCAGAGCAAAAGTAGATGAGCTGTTGCTGGCAATAGAAAATCACTAGAGAGCTGCTGCAGTTAGCAATTAGCTCATTGATCTTATAATTTTCTATTTCTTTTCCCCTTGAAAGGGCTCTTAGCAATTAGCATTAACCAAGCATTTAACAATATGTTAATGGTAAGTGTTGAAGATAAATGGAACACTGTGGCAAGGCTACTGTTCACGTTCACTGTTCATGTCCAGTTCAGTTTCAATTATGTTGCTGAGAAGTTTCTTTGTTGAGTTTCCAATGTAATCTTCTTGTATCTTTGATGTTAAGTGTTTCACCTAAATGTATGATTTGGCTTTAATAGTATCCATGTGCCATGCTCCTTGATTTATGGGGTTTATATCATTATTCAAATGTATTAAGTGAACACTGTATGTGTCTGGTGTTGTATTGTACAAAAACATACCAGAATTGATGAAAAACCTATGGAAAATCAATGAAAAAAAATCTGAGCATCATCTCTAGCTCAGTTGATGTTATTTTCTTCTTCTTTTGAATGTTTCCCAAGATTATCTCGAGTTTTATGTTGCGTTGAATCAATTTTTCCTAACGGATCTACAGTAAGTTTGAATATTCTTTTTGATGTCAAAAGAGAAAGGGAATGGCTTACCAACATTTCCTCTCTCAAAATGTGAGTAATGTAATGAGATAGATCACAAATTTACACAATAAAATTGAGCACTCTCTTCATATTATTCCTTTTAGCTAGTTTTACATTTCAAGAATTATTCAAGTAACCATCTTCCCCAAAAAGACTAGGAATTGTAGCATTTAGCATGGAACATGGTTGCAGTTAACCAGCCACTGACGATTATTTTTTATAAGCCAACCATCCAAAACCTAATTAAGCATTTCAAACCTGGACTTTCGCAGGCGTTCAGTGAAAATGTCTGCTAACTGGTCTTCTGAGCTGCTGTGCACCAGAATGACCTCTCCTTCCTCTTGAGCTTCTCGCAAAAGATAATATTTAATTTTGAAATGCTTGGTCCTCCCATGGAAGACTGGATTTTTGGCAATGGCTACTGCAGACATGTTGTCACATGGGATTTTAATAGCTTTCTCTTGTGTATGACACAAATCTCTGAGCATTTTTCTCAACCAAACAGCTTTGAACTTCACATACATGCTGAAAACTTCTGATTTTCGTTTGAGAAAATAAACCCAGCACATCCTACTAAAATCATCAATGAATAGGTATTTGCTTCCACTGTGAGAAGGGATTTTCACAGGACCACGTATATCCGAGTGAATCAGTTATAGTTTTTCAGTTGCTCTATTAGCCATTCCAGAAGAAAAAGGAAGTTGGCTTTGTTTTCCCAATTGGCAAACCTTACAAACATGATCTTTGTCATATACAGATGACATGTCGATTGCTAAGCCTTGACTGTGCATCAACTTTAGTGAGCTATAGTTGTAAATTTGTCATGGCCTAATCTCATGTGCCACAAGTTAAACTCATCAACACTACTTGTGAAAGCTCTAATTTCTGTTTCTTTCCAATCTACTGGGAAACTTCTATCATTCATCTTCACAGTAAGCAACTCAGAACCAGTTTTATCAGTTATAACACGACTTATAATGGAAATGCAAGGAAAAGCCATTTTCTAGCAACTGAGCAACACTAATCAACCTTTGACTAATTCCAAGTACATATAGAACATCATAAATCAGTTTGTTACCTATAGGAGTATCAACCACAGCTGTGCCTTTGCCTTGGACAGCAACATATTCTCCATTACCAAGCTTGACTCTTGAAGAATAGCTTGAGTCCAGAATTTTAAGGACAGCTTTGTTGGGTGTCATATGATGTGTACACCTGCTGTCAATTAGCCAAGAAGAGGATTTTTTGTTGATAACATATCAGCGTTCATCAAATTCTACACTTACTGCCATGAACAATTTCTCCTCCCGGAAATCTTTAGTTTCAGCCAGCTTTGCTTGAGCAGGTTTGGACTTGCAAACTTTTTCTTCATGTCCAAACTGTTTGCATATTTTGCATTGTGCTCCAGTACTATTTCTGTGATATTCCTGCTTCTCGTTGTCATTTTTTGCTGCATATTGTATCCTCCCACCTCCGGTAGTTTGAGCTTTCCCTTTTTCAGCTGCTGCAAGAGCTGTTTCAGTGGAGTCATTTTCGAGCCTCAATGTTTTTCTTTGCTCAACAGCACGGAGAGCATTGACTAACTCAGTGAGAGTCACCTTAGAAAGATCTCTTGAATCTTCTAAAGAGGATATTTTGTGCTCGAACTTCTCAGGCAAGCTAACTAAAACCTTCTGAACAACTCTCTTGTCAAAGAGCTCTTCTCCATGCAGCCTCATTTGGTTAACAACCTTCATTAACCGGTCAGAGTATTCCTTTACAGTTTCTGACTCAGTTATCTTTTGCATTTCAAACTCCCTCCTGAGATTTGCAACCTGCAACAACCTCCCACAGATCAAAGGCTCGAAGGCAGGCTTTCATTTTGACTGACCAAACTGTATAGTTTTGGCCAGAAAGTACAGGGGTTTTGGCTGTAGAACTGCTGCTGCTGAATTCCATAGTTGAGGGCTAAGACTTCTATTATTTATTATTATTATTTTTTTTAATTTTTGTGAAAGGTTTTATTGTGTCTTGTGGCTCTCTCGGATCAATCTTCCTCACAGTTCCTCAAGAACAAATGAGCTCTGATACCATGTTAGTTTTCCTGGTTAGAGATCAGAGAAAGGTGTGAAAGAGCTGAACAATTGCTCATTTTCATTGAGCTACTGATATATGTTTACAGCATTACAAAATATGATTTGATGTTCTCTTTTCCTTAATCTAAGGAAACTTGTCTGATGCCTAGAACAAGGATCCCTCATATCACATCAAGTCTTACAAAAGGACAGCTTTTACATCAAACTTAAACCAATCCTTAAACAACAACAAAAGCCATTAACTAAGTTACATTCTAATGTAACCAAGCTTGAATTCATCACCAGCATGTGAATGGAAGTCTGTGGCATTAGTGTCATGGTTTCCTTCAACACCATTGACATCAAGGACACGGGGATCTTTCCTGTGATGAGACGGGTAAGGATTCTTAAACTTGGTAGAGTTCTGTACAGAGCGTCTCTTCTGACCATACTCGGATCTCCATTTGCGAAGAGCCTCTTCAACTGCCGGCTTGCCTTGATTTGGGGCCTCTACTCGCTTCAGTGCTTTTTCCAAGGCCTTCTTACTAGTTGTGACGTTTTCTGTAGCTTCCTCTACCTTCTTTAGGATTTCCATTTTAGAAACATTTGCTTCATCAGCTTGGCGCATAGCTTCAATCACTTTCTTCTTAGAGAGGTCCTCAGCCTCTCGAGCCTTGCATGTTAAAGGAGAGTACTCTTCAAATGAAAGAGTCACTCCTTGAGGTTTCTTCTGAGGAAATCCAGATGAGCTCTCAGTTCTTTGGAGAGCTTTGATCTCCGCAAGAGCCATGGCTTCAGCTGCTCGATCTAGCTGGTTCCTTCATTTTTCTGGCTGCAACCAACCTCCTGTCAGCTGTTTTTATCTTATCCTTTGTCTGTTCAATCTTAGAAATTGACCTTGCTGCTTCTCCCATCTTCTTGAATTGCCTGGCCTCAGAACTCGACCATCGAAGCTCTTTTGTAATTTCTATAGGGTTATCAGAACTGCCCTTCTTTCCAGCATCTTCTGCCACTTGCATCTTCAATTTGGTTTGGTTTAGCTCTTCTTTTCAAGAGATGATATCTTTGAGGAATTTAAGATAACCTCTCCCGGGGCTTCTAGAAAGTCTTCACCAATTTCTTGTTTAACGAATCAACAGAAGCTCAAATGTCAGCAAGATCATTCGTTGTCCTGGAAAGATTGAACTTAGCCTGCTTCAGGTCCATTAAGATTAGACCTGGAGCTGGGAAGGTGGTCAAACCACCCACAGAATTTGCAATGACACTCTTCCAGGTTTTCCCCTTCTTTCACCACAGAAATCTCATTCTTGTCTTGTATCTTTATCTCATGAGTTGAATTGACTTCAGATGTTCCAGTATGCAGCTTTAGTTTTAGTTCTTCTACCACGCTTTTGGGTTGATTCAAGCCCTTTTAAAACATCAAGTGTTTCCCTTTCCTTGACAATCAGATCTTTCTCCACCTCTGCTGCTTGCTGCTCTAATTTTTCAATATTTCGTCCTGCTAATACCACAAGATTGTCAGCACCTAATTAATCCAGTAACAAGTAGCATAGATAGAATGCCTATGCATATGCACCATAATTGAAATTAATCAATGAGCATTCATATTTTTTTAACTGATAAGATTGGTAAAAAACTGCTTATGAATCCTTATCACACAACCTTTTCAAAGACAAATTTTACTAGACAGTCCCTTCTACTGTGCTTGTGTGCCAGGGCATAGAAAGGAACATAAGAATAAGCTAGAGAACAATGGATGATTGTATCAAGTGTGACATGGAAAGCAATATCATTACAGGAAACTAAGTGCCGGGAATGTAGAATACTTGGTGGCAGCACCAGAACCTCTGAAGCTCATATATATATATATATATATATATTGGTAAGCCAAAGAATTTTATTAGCAGGTACCCTTTGAAGCTCATATTGACTGCTTTTATATGCAAAACCTTCAAAATCTTTTTCATTTGCAGCAGAATGCACACAGGCAACACTTCAACATATGTAATAAATGAACTTAAACCCTCTAAATATAAGAAAATAATCTCAGAATAAGCCACTTTCAAATAATAGAGTGAGATATTTTAGCATTAAAGAAAATTCAAAATCTCAGCTTAAAATCCAATCAAAATTTCAACTCCAATCCTTTGGTGGCAAACTTTAAAAAAACTTTGAAGTGGCAATTTCAAACAAATTAAAGTCAACTCTATTGAGCTTAGCGAACAAGATAGCTCACCACGGGGTCCTGGGCATCATTTTCCTTGCACATCACCAACGGGACTCCAGTATCTAGTACTACAGCCATTTTGCAGCTCAATTAATGTATGCATGACCAGCAGCGCCAAGTGCATTACTCTCGGGCCCATACTCATTCTCAATCTATAGAAAGGAACAAAGCATCTACAATCATCAAGTGTCTAATCCATTCTATGAGATCTATTTTACAACATCAAAGTTATGGCAAGAGAATTGAGCAAAACAGATCCCAATAACTTGAAACCTACAAAATGCCAAATACCAAGAATCAATTACCTGAGAGAGGATGATGAGGCCACCTTGTGAGGCAAACATATTTTCATTCTTCATCATTGGATAATTTTCTGAGTAAATCCTTGCACTGCCATCTTCATGAAAATTGGAAAAGGCAAATAAACATGGACAGATCCATGCTTTATAAAAATATAAATTCAACATGAGAAGAAGCCCGACTTTTACTTTCTTTTAATTGTTCGTCTAAACCAAAGAGTCTCAAGGAGTAGTCTGAAGCAATATAAATTGAAAAGGAGAAAAAGAGAAAAAACCCTTGAAGGGCTCATGATCCGTTCTGAAGCTGATACCAGGAACATACTTAAGCCATACTCGAAATCCCCTGTACCAGAGTCCAGAAACATACAGTAAGCAATAAAAACAACTCAAATCCAGCATTAAGCTATGAAGTATAGTAAAAGACAATACTTCTTTAGTCTTTACAAAGAAAAGTTTTTTCTCTGCAACCAACTAATTAAGAAAAAGAAAATCTTTAACATAAAAATGGAAAGAAAGAGTCAGAATGGTACCCAAAATTCCATTCTGCACAAAGGTCCAATCCTGAGATAAGCATACAATCCTACTTTCTGCACTGTCTTAATGAACCGTACTAGGTTATCTCCCCTCAAAATTATACTAAAACCCAAGAAGGAAAGAAAAATCCTAAATAAACTGAAAATCATACAAGATGATTTTTGAAATGTATAATAACATGAAAAGTGCAAGAACCGAAAACAAGTAAGTTTCAGTAGATATCTGAAAGAGTACATTGCCAGGAGAAGGTTCGTGACCATTCCAAAAATCATTGGTGTCTATAACGTCCAAGCCTCCATCTTTAGCCTTCTTTATTAGGTCTTCCCACATCTACAACCGTGAAATCAACATAAAAGTTCAAGAATCAATCAGATATTCCGTTTCATATTGCCATTTTGGGAAGAAAAGTAGAAACAAGAAAAGGGTACAGGCAAAATACTGCAGGGGTGCTTCTGGGGTAGTTAATGGAGCCAGAGATGAAGATTCTCCTTTGCCCACCGATGATGATTACCTTGTGGTCGTAGGTAATGCTGCACTGAATCAACTCAGAACCCAGAAGCAAAACTGCTTAGATGAAAAACAGCAAAAGAAGAGAAATAAATACTAATAAAAATACGCATCAGTTTTTATTGGAAGAGTTATTCATTATTTTCAAGTGCATCACATGCATCGAATTCAGATTAATCGAGATGAAACCTGGTATACCGAACGGAAACCAAAAATAAAAAAAAGTACTAATAAAAATTTGGGAAGAGGGAGAAGCAGTAAGCTTTAACATTAAAAATGCAGTTATTTCCATAAAAAAGAATGTCAGTTATTTAATAATAATTATATAATAAATTTATTAAATTTAATATTTGTATTATATTTTATATATTTAATTATATATTTAGTAATTATAATTGAATATTATATTAACGACTTAATTTTTTATTTTCTTTAAAAATTATAAATGTTAAACGAAAAAACAGGTTGACCTGAAAAAAAAAAAAATACAGGTCATCAACCTATTTTTCCATTTAGGCTCTTTTAATTTTTACTAGAAAGAAAGCAAGATTATCAATGCCATACCAGCTTATATATCAATTTTTGTTAATGAAACGAGGCACATTGGATATCAAAATTATTTGTTTATCGTTTTGGAATTATAGAAATAAATTGAATTACCAATATAAGTTAAATATATAGCTTTAGTTTGATATTTAATTATTATAAAAAAATTTTAAAGTTAAAAATGACCAAATTTATAAAATGTCCTCAAATTTTTTTCTAATAAAACATAAAAATAATCGAAAATGCCTTTACTTAAATAAAATTTTTTAATTATTATTTATTTATTATATAAAATTATCAAATTAATTTACATAAAATTAAAAGACAATGACAAATTAAAAAAGACAAAATAGAGCATTAAACAGTAAAATAATACATAAACATGTTCTACATTTATTTCTAGGAATTTTTTAATGTATGTTTTTAATAATGTATTTATTATACTTTTTATTATTAATTTACATTAAGAAAATAAAAATTGATTGAATTTTAATCAATCATCCACTTAAATTATTTTACTTAACATTGATATTAAAAATAAAATTTACCTTTATAATTTTTCATATAAATTAATAATATAAATATATAATAAATATATTTTAAAGATATATATTAAAAAAATCTTATTTATATAACATATATAAATTAAGTGTATGCACTTAATTATATTTTTAAAAACAAAGGGTCATCATCTTTTTATATAATTTTTACATGTTATTAAATAAATTGATACATTTAATATTATTGATCCTACATGAATTAAAAGAACTAATCATGACACATCATGATGTAAAAAAAAAAAAAGAAACAAAAAAATTATACAAAAATTATTTCCCAAAAACAAGTCATTCAATAATCTTACATTTAAGAACGTAACGCCAACCATCACAGTTTATAATTTTATATATTCCTCATGAAGTCATCGCACTTCCATCATCACCATCCGTTTTTGATTTCTCGTTCTTTTCTCTTCTCCATCCATTTCTCATCCAATTAAATCCCTACTTCCATCGTCATCGATTTAGGGAACCATTTCTCATTGTCATCTCTTCTCATCTAAAGATATGTAAAGGAGGGGCCAAGACACTGGCATTGTAGTTCCAACTTCTAAGTTCCAACCTTTGCTAAGATGGAGAGACATGTCCATGTCTTTGACTTATTCTATCCTCTATTGAAATGGAGAGAAACAAACCGTTCATCTATCATCCCCACCACCATTTTTCAACTTTTTCTTAATTTTTTATTCGAAATTTTAGATTTGTGGTTGTTTCTTAGCAACGTGGAGAATAGGCTCAGATGAGAGAGGATAACGGTGAAATTGGTGGTCTTTTCTAAACGGGTAGGGGCTGGGGAAGACGATGAAGTTGTAATCGCGATTTCAACCGTTTTTAACCGACTATGATTATACAACGATTTCATACCAAGCTTATGGGATTCCGAGTTTTAGTAGAAGTTAACTCGAAAATCATACCTCAGAATGTTGTACTAATAACATTGCAGCTTACTAGCCGGTATGCCGAATTTTAACTGAAATACTTAGTATTTGATTGAAACGAAATCGAACTTCATGCCATTTCAGTTCAGATTAAGGGTTTATTTGGTGTAAGTTGTTGAAACTTTTGCTTTTTATGTACTATTTATGAGTGATAAGTTTAAATTTTTATTGATGAAAAAATTTAAAAATTGATTTTAAAGATAGAAAAAAGTGAGTAAAAAGTAAATAAAAAAATTTATAAAAAATTTGAATTTGAAATTTTTAATTTTTTTACTGCTTATGATCTTTTTAAGGTTAAAAAAATATTTAAAAATATAAATTTTTAAGAAAAAAATTTTAATTTATGAAATATGAATAATATTAAAAATCTTAAACACTTAAGAAGCTGTACCAAACGCAATCTAAGTATAAAACCAGTAAATGGTGGCCGGTATAAAATGAAATTTACAACCCTAGAGGAAAGCAAGAGGGGACTCGAACTCAGTCTACTAGATGAGGGATATGGACACCTTATCTAATTAGATTCAAACGTACAACCCAAGTATTACACTTTGTTAACATCCGGAAATGGGTAGCAGGATGCCGATGAGCTAGACGGGCTAGAGACGGGCGACGACACCTGCAAAATAAAGGAACGTTAGAGCTTAGCTGAAAACTGGAGTTAGTCTTTGACTTGGCACTCCGAGCACTCAACTTTAGGAGAGTATTCTTGAAGAGAAAACTAGTGGGTGTATAGTGAGGAGACGAGGTGTGTGTTGTGTGAGGTGTGTGAGTGTATACGGAAGAGAGAGAACGAACGGGGGGCATTCATTATGCTACCTTCATGTGCAGTTGCGTAGCCAAAATTTAAGGTTAAAGGGAACACAACTATAAATTGCAAAAAAAAAATTGTCCAAATTAAATATGTTGTTCAGCATCCATATTTTCTTAATATTAAAATAATTTATGAATTACAAATAAAAAGTACTCTAAAATTAATGAAAAAAAAAAAGAATACAACAATAATAAACTATAAATACAAATAAAAAGTAATAATAAAGAAGAAAGAGATGAAATTTACTTTATTTTTTTCTAACGTAATTATAATTCTTAAAATGAAAATTTATTCTTAAAATGAAAATTTATTATACAATAATTTTTGTAAGTAATTTCTATTTATATTGTAACTTCCAAACCATAAATATCAATCAATTTGGTAATGCATTGAAACTTCCAAAGTAGTAATTGCTCCCATTGGTACGGAATTGAAATAACTATTCATCACTCATCCGTTAGAGGAAGAAAAGCAACATCCATGTTATTGGTAATAAAAAGATGTAATAGCTACCTTTATTTCATAATAGTTCATACATTTTATTCAAAAAATTAACTCTAACGGATTGATTTAACCAACACGAGGAGGTTGAAGAATAATATCATTTTCGTCAGTTATAACATAAACACGGTTGCAACAGAAATCAAATAGCATGCCATGGCCTGGAGGCACGAGTCGAACAGTCACCCATGGGTTGTCCTTCTTTATTATTGACATAGCTTCGTGCCCTTTCTTTCCTGACAATTCTGGCCACTCGTATTTGTAACGACCTACGAAATCAAAAAGAAGAAAAATACATGATTAAATCAGTGAATTAAGGTCATATGAACGGTTAACAATTTAAATAATTTAATAATAGTTTCATTTCGTTGAGAAGAGAAATATTAAATTCAAATGATATAAGATGCAATATAAGTGAGTGAAATAAGAGATATGAGAAAATTATCTTTCATTATACAATTAACAAAAAAAAAAAAAAAAAAGACCACATGAACTGATTAATGGTAAGATAAATAATAATAATAAGAGAGAGCGAGAGAATTTGGTTAGTAGTTGGAGATATGATGTTTAAATAAATTGGGAAGAAAATATATACCCAAACCGCAGCATTCCGAGGAGACACAGACGCCGCCCTCGCAAGGTGGATACGGAGGCCATTGAAATGCAGACATCTTCACTTGTTCTTCTTAATTTTGGTTGTGTCATGTGTTAAGTAGGTGAATTCATCGTCCTATACATATTTATGTGGATGGTTATCTAAGAAAGGAATAATCCCAAACTTTCTGTTTTAACGTAATATTCTTATCAAAAACCGGACACAAAATTTAATTTTGTGAGTTATGGAGCTAAATAAATAAGGCATTATGTCAAATGTAATTATTACTAAATTTATGAATTAAAATATCTTATTATATTATAAAATTTGTTTAAATTATTAATAAATATCTAATAAATTTTTAAAATTTTTAATAAATTCCTTTATAATTTTCAATAAATTTGTTTAAAATACTTATAAAATTTTAAATAAATACCCGATAAACTTCTCTTATAAAAACAAACTTAAAGAGTTAAAATCCAATTAACTCTAATTCTATCCCAATTCTTATTAAATATAAAACCTTGAAATATTAATTTATATCGAACGATATCTCATCATTTGTCTTTGTAGAAGCAAAAAATTCA